CTGGTAACGCCTGTCACTGGCCTGGGAAGTAGGCCTTGATTCACGGTCGACCTTCCACAGGTCAGCCGTGGGTTGTCTGGGCCTCTTGTTTGCCAGTGGGGGCTTGTCCTCCTACTTGGAGGAATCAGAGGACTGAGTATTTCAGGGTGCTTTACTGTTGCCCCAACGAACTGCAGCCTGTCCAGCCCCTTCACCACAAGCCCTGTACGTCAGTACTGCCCATGCTGGCAGCGGACAGGCCCTGCTCTGGAGGGTTCCGGGGAGGATGGAGTGGATGTCCCCAAACCTGTGTTGCCTCCCTGCCAAGGTAAAGCACAAGGTGCTATATACTTTCACCTCTAGGATTTAAGATGGTCTTATCTGAGTGTCACCAGTGAAACACGACTGGTGTGGGTGCAAAAGCCGGTGGGCACTGTTTTTGATTCGATTTTTGGCTGGCTGATGTGATTGTGTTTGCTGTGCTGCCGGAATGCATCTGTATCTCCCCCCACCCCCTGCCCCTTTTGGCCATCTCTTTCTGTAAATAAAGTGATTGGTCTTCAGCCAGCTCCTGTGCTCTCCTTGTTTGGTCAGATTTCTCAGAGTGACGACAACAGTTAAGTTGTTGTAACCTGAGAATCCTTGTAACCCAAGAATCCAAAGGTCTGGAGAAATTTTCGAGTGTACATGTGTGTTTCTGCAAAATTAAAGTGGTAGTAAGAATTGGGGCACCTGGGTGACTTGGTTGAGTGTCTGCCTTCGGCACAGGTCATGATCCCAGAGTCCTGAGATTGAGCCCCACATCGGGCTCTCTGCTTGGCGGGGAGCCTGCTTCTCTCTCTCCCTCTCCCTCTGCCTGCCCCTCCCCCTGCCTATGCTCTCTCCCTCTCTCTGTCAAATAAATACTAAAAAAATAAGTAAAGCGGTAGTAAGAACACATTGGTACCTTCTTACGAGTTCGGCTGCTCTTGAGCTTTGACCATTTTATTGCCAGGTAACTCGGAAGTGAGTGCGTGGATCTTTTCTTTCCTCTTCCTCAGTGCTCTGGGAAAAATGGAGCACCCAAGGGTGGTGGTGTCTAAATCCATTGTACTGAAGGGGGCACTTTGGACCGTGAGCTCCTCTGACGCCTCTGGGCAAACTTCGGGGGAAGCCCTGTGTCACTACTTGTGGTCGGTCCTCTCATTTTGTGCTAAGTTATTAATGAACAGTGGTGCACGGGCTAAAAGTAAACTGGGAAAAGGAAGGCTGTGTTCCAAGAATGCTAAAGAAATCTGAAACTGGAGTCGATGCATCATTGAGACCCTGTCATTGATGGTATATTTTCAGCAAAATCCTGTCACTTTGTCTCATCCATTCCTTCCCAGGTGAATACACAGTTGATTGCATCCGCTCGGTGCTGGTCTTATTTGTGGCTAGAAATCTGCTGCTCTCGGCTTTTTAGGTGCTTCTGTCTTTCTCTCTGTATTAAGCTTGGGACCAGTCACTAATTGTTTATTGTCAGCACTTTGATGTTTATGTCACTTAGTTGTATAAAATCAGAGCACAGGGCCACTGAGGTACAGGTGATGGAACAGAGTGCCCCTGACAGAGATGGCGCAGGTGTTCATTGGTGCCCCCCCACCCCCCAGGTCACAGTGAGTGCTTGTTTGTCAGTGATGACCGGGGTGTATTCAGATTAGGAAGGTACCGGGGCATGGGTCTCCATTGTTCGATTTGCCCACTGTCACAGGAATTTCTGAGTACAAAGCTATAAGTGTATAATCAGATAAATACATAGGCTGCTGTACAGTGTACCAGGGATATTATGAAACACCAGAGTTTCTTAAAAGGAGAATTTTTTTACAGCAAGTATCTCACTCCCCCGGGGGTAAATACACCCTGTTTCAGAGAGACTTAGGTTAGTGGCATCATTAAATGATGCATGGAGGTTTAAGAAAGTTGAGCCCTGGGTGGCTCAGTCGGTTAAGTGTCTGGCTCTTGATCTCAGCTCAAGTCTTGATCTCAGGGTTGTGAGTTCAAACCCCACACTGGGCTCCATGCTGGGCGAGACTACTTTAAAAATAAAAAAAATAAACTGACAGTAGTACCATGTTTGAAATGCTATGTTTTGTCAAGTGTTTCCTTAGCTAAATTTTCTTTCTCTCAGTCACTGCACTCTATGTTGACCCAGTGTATTAGGAAGGAAAATGAGAAAAGAAGCCCCTTGGATCACAGGGCAAGGGAAGCAGTGACTGAGGCCTGGATTCAAATACTGTAGTTCTGGATAGGAGTCCACAGCGTATTTGCTGTGTGACTTTGGAAAGTTACTTAATTCCTCCGAATTGCGCTTTCCTCCCTCTTCAGTGGGCTTGAGACAGTTATCTGAAACAACACAGAGTACATATTCTATGTCCGTATGTAGACCAGTGTCCGCTGCACAGCAGGAATGCAGTGGTGAGAATAATGGAGGGCCTCCTACGTGCCTGGTGTCTGTGTGTGGGGGATAATGTGTTCGGTTTTGACAGTAACCCAGGGAAGGAGGTGTTTGATGTGTGAGGAGCCTGAGGAATTCAACGTCTTGGTCGGGAATTCAAATGGGGGTCTGAGTGTGAAGCTCCTAGCCTTCCCATCCCATCACACTCCCTGGCCCAGGGGAGAGTACCTGGTCGAGAGTGGGTGCTCAGCATCTTATTTTTTTTTTTCTTTAAGATTTTATTTATTTATTTGACAGAGATCACAAGTAGGCAGAGCAGCAGGCAGAGAGGGGGGAAGCAGGCTCCCAGCTGAGCAGAGAGCCCGATGCGGGCTCAATCCCAGAACTCTGAGATCGTGACCTGAGCCGAAGGCAGAGGCTTAACCCACTGAGCCACCCAGGCGCCCCTCAGCATCTTATTTCTTAGAGGAATGACTGAGGCAAGAGGGGCAGAGTGCTGGTGAGTCCTTGGAGAGAAGTAAGTCCTCGTCTTCACTGGGGGGAGCATCAGGTGACCAGCATTCCCCTCAGGGCCTGGCACGCATCCTGCCCAGAGCCCCGTCTGTGCTTGCTGCTTCACTGGGCCACAAGCTGCCTCCCCAGGTCACTTTGACCATGTGTGGGTCTTGGATCCTTCTCTGGCTGTTAAGAAGAGGGCTGTGGGCCTGGTTAGTGATGATGGGAGTTGTGGCCCTACCAAGCGACTGAGCTCTGACTAAGCTGCAGGATGGTGGGCTGGTCTCTGCATCAGTGCTGGGTGCTGGCTGTCCAGGGGCTGAGGAAAGTCCTTTCCCTCCCCTTCTACTGCCTTTCTCCCTCTTCCCTCCCTTGCCCCACCCAGTTCATCTGTCCTCCAGTACCTTAGCTTCTTTAAAGGGTTAATACCTTTCAGTCTTACTACTGAGTCTTAGAGGTAGCTGATTTCAGAAGTGAGGACTTGGTGAGTGAAGTCCGTGTGTGGTCATATAGGCAGTGTCTGGACATCTGAGATACAGGGGTGTGGGGGGGCAGACACAGAGTGGATGTGGTGTTGACAGCAGGCTGGGGCTAGAGAAATGGCAGGAGGTGAGTGAGAGTGGTGTTTTCTCAGTTTTGTTGAGGGTGTCACCTGGCCAGGTCCGATGTTTCTTTTTCACGTGGGGAACGACATCGGTTTGGGCCAGGCAGGGAATTGTGCTCCGCCCTCTGTGGAGCTGCCCCAAATTGAGTAGGAGCTGGTTGCCTCTCAGCCACTTTAATTAAGCCACTTAATAGCCTGCGGATCTTGCTAAATGCTGATCCTGATAGAGTAGGACCAGGCTGGGGCCCAAGATTCTGCATTTCTTCTGTTTTTTAAAAAGATGCATTTCTTTATTTGAGAGTGAGAGCCTGGGCGTGGGGGGAGGGGCAGAAGTGGAGGGAGAATCCTGAAGCCGACTCCCTGCTGAGTGCAGAGCCCCACCCTGGCCTCCATCCCCCCACCCCTGCACCACGACCTGAGCTAAAACCAAGAGTTGGCCATTGAACCGACTGAGACTCCCCAGACGCCCCAAGATTCTGCATCTCTAAGAGATCCTCGGATGCTGGTGAGTTCCACGGTCCACATGGCATTCCTTGCCGTGGGCTGGCAGCTGGTGTCAGTGTGCCTGCCGAGTGTGATTGTGGTTAGTGCCAGTAGGGCTGTGCCTCGAGGGCCAGGTGGCCGGCCAGAATTTTACTGGAGAAGAGATGTGGCTCTTATGGCCTTCTGACAAAGGCTTTTCCAGAGTGTGCATGTTACCCCAACCTGCTGAGGGCTGGCCTACGTACTTCTAAAAGGTATTCATGTGTCTGGATTGGCAGTGCTTCTATTTGGAGCCTCCTTAGTCTTTTTTTTTCTCTTTAGTGATTCACCCATCATCTGTCATCGCCAGTTCTTAGCAACCAGTTCACACATTTGCTCAAGTGTAAATCACTCGTAACTGACCTTCCTCCAGGAAAGCTGGTGTCCTCAGTGGAACTAAGCTGTGGAACATTAGGCTCAAGGCTCAATTCAGCTGTGTGCTGGAGTTGGCAATCTTTAGGAACACCTACCTGATATTGCTAAGTCACCAAGGCAGTGCCCAGCCTTGCCCACATGCACCTGCTTTGCCATGTCTTATCAGTAGTGGACAAGGAGGAGGGAGAAGTAGTTATTTCAGCCCTGTCTAGCAGTGGCTGGTAGCCATTGTAAGCACCCCACTTACTTATAACCTCAGACTCACACTTTAGCATTCCCAGGATCCTGCTGTGATCGTGAATGTCAGTTCATGGGTGTGGGCTCTGATGATGTCCCCTGAAGTTTTTTGGTTCACAGTCCTTGGTGATGGTTACTAATCTCTCATTGTAACTCCACTGTGCTCGGGAAGCTGTGATATTTACAAGAACTGTCTTCTCCCACTACCCCCACTTCCTTTCTTGGTTTCCTAAGCGTTCATACCTGCCTTATACTACATAGCCTTCTTTTCTCTTCCCTTGACCGTAGTTTAGAAAAGATTTTTTTTTTTCAGTGAAACGTGAAGTTATCGTCTTTGGTGAAATAAATTTCTGCTTTGAATGTTCAGCATACGATTTGAATGTTTATTCACCTCTGAAGCTAGCCTACCACTCAGAGCTGGGAGCTGTTGCAGAAGCAGTGTACAAGCAGGTGAGTGCCGCCAAGGTTGCGGGACACACAGGCGGGGCTGGTCTTGTGGCTGATCACTCATCTGCCAGGGCCTCTGAAAAGCAAGAAATCAAGTCAAAATTCCACATCCGCCATCTTCCCAGTGCCATCGAAGATGGCTTTGCTTCCAGTTTTGATGTCGGAAGTGGTGCATTGTAGTGCAGGGGGAGGGCCGGATATTGGCCTTGGAGTGTGCGGTGTGTGGCTTGGGCTTGTCACCTGAAAGCTGAGTCTTGGTTTCCTTATCTGCACCTTGACTTGAAAGGTCGAGGTGCTTCTACTTCTGCCTCCCTCATGTGGTTGGTGGGGAGTGGAGGCTGGGGCCGTGTTGGTTAGGGACGTGATTTGCAGGTGGTCCTGTGCTTCCTTTGGCACCCCCCCCATCAGCAACAGATTGGGTGGTTTCTTTCTACATGCCGAGAAGGGATTCACAACAAAACCTAGAAACCTTGGCTTAATTCTGATTGTAGCACTAATTCCTTTTGTTTATGAAGCAAAGTTATCTAGTGAAAGTACTTAACATCAAATAATTTTATGCTCTCAGAGTGGGTGTTAGCTCCATTTTATGGTTAGGAAATTGGGGTTCCCTGGGGCCCCAGAGGTAGTTAATGTGCTACTTCTTGAAATAGTGTGTTCCTGGAATACAAAGGCTGTGCTCACCCCACTTCCTAGCCGCTCACAAATCCCAGCCCAGCCCGCTCTCCGGCAAACATTTGGGAAAGAGGAATTAGAAGCTTTTTAAGACTGGTAAGGGAAGAAAACATCTATTGTGTCACCCATAGGCTGGGCTCACATTTGGGACTCCAGGGAAACTGAAATGACCTGACTGGGGCAGGGACTTACCGTTGGCCTCTTCCCAGAGGATGTCTTGAAGAAACTTCCCCAGCGCCTGGCCATGCTGGTGGTACTGAGCCCCAGACAGCTTGATTCCAACATCAAAGGGAGTGTTGAACTAGGAGGAAGGGCAAGGAAGACCCAGAAGGTGTCAGAGGTCACATGCTCTCAAACCCACTGCCCTCCTAAGGGCAGTGGCTCTGAGGGTCTCAGCATGGGGCAGGGAGGGCACAGGACCTGTGGCCCAGTGAGCACCACTGCAGGACAGCTCAGCCAGCTTACCCTGCCGTCTTAGGTCAGATCTTCCTGCCCCTGCCATCTTGAGGAGACTTAGCTTGTATCCTTTCCTTACCTCTAGTGAGGTTGCTCACAGAAGCTGCGGGGCTCCCTAGGTTACTCCCACTCCGCCTTATAATTTTGGAAGACATAAGGTAGAGTCACCAATGGCAGAATTTCAGGGTCCGGTAGAGAGACTGGGAGGATAGTGGGTCTCCCCAGTGTTGTAGCACTAGCCTGGGTGGTGGTCTCTGGCCCTCCACTGCCTCCCCCGTCCCCATCCCCTGCAGCTGTTCTTCCTGTCAGGGGCACAGGCCTTTCCTTGTTCCGTGGAAAGTCAGATAAGAAGCCGACCTTTCCCTGGAAAGATGCTTTGAGCCAAGTGCTTTCTTCTCTCTGTGCCTCTGTCTCTTCCCTCCTACAGGGAGAGCACCCCATTTTCCTTACTTTCTCAGCACTCTCGGAGATGGCTTAATGATGCTCAGAGCTTTGGGAAAATGGGAAGGAGCTCTCTTTGCAGCCACATCATGGTTTTCGCCCCAGGAGGGCAGACAGTAGCAGACAGTGGCTCCTCAGGCTCATCTGTTCTGTCGGGGATGAGTAGCTGCCTTGGCGCCTGGCACCTGTATGCTGGTCACTCTGATGTCTGAATGAGTCACTGAGGAATCTTAGTGCTGGGAGGGAGCCTTTGGTCATTGGTCCTTCTGCCCCCTGCCCTCAGACAGGAGGCCTGGAGAGGTTGAGGACTTGCTCAAGGCTGCAGGGGGGTGGTGGCCGGGGATGAGACTGAGGACTCCCACCCGCCCGTCTGGGAACCTCTTCTGGTCCTGGTCCATGGCAACACCCGGCCTGGAGGCCCTCTGTCCACTGGGCCTGGCGAAGGCCTTGCCTCCACACTGGGGACAGTCCCTGGGGCTCCCCACCTGGAAGGTACTGCTGTCATTCCTGTTTCACATGTGAGCAAAAGTGCTCCGAGAAGTTATGAAGAAAACAAATAGCTCCTGTTCCCTTGCAAATGTTTACCTTCTTCCTTGTCTCCATGGGGAAGGTGGAGGGAGTGGGGAATGACCTGGTTGGGTTTTGAGGGAACTCCGGCCCTTAAGTTCCCTCCCATCAGCCAGTACTCCTTTTTGTTCCTCCCTGCAGCTGGTAGTCAGAGGCTCGCGCAGACTTCTTGGGAACCACGTGAGCCCCGATCTGAGGGCCTGCTGGCTGTTGTAGCACCCTAAAACTGGGTGGCAGGGGCATGGGAGAGGCAGCCTGGCAACTTTTGGGGGAGAGGTTTGCTTCTGGGGACTCAAAAAGGCCCATTTGGCCCCAGCGCCTCATCTGTTCTGTCGGGGATGAGGGGCAGGGGAAGGGATAAGACTTAGTCTCAGAAGTCTTCCAGCTCTGAAAGTCCATTTCGGGGGACCACGTTTCGGGGAAGGTAGAGGGCCCAAGGTGGGGGAGATGGAACCGCAGCGCCAGAAGGGGCTTAGGGAGTGTGTCTGAGCCTCACAGCTGAGGGGGCAGGCCTCTCCACCTCTGGCAGCCGCAGTGCGCCTCCCAGACAGCTCAGACTTCGGGTTCTAGTGGAGGTGGTGGGGGCTGTCTCCTCCAAGGCCAGCCTTCCTGGGAATTGGAAACTTCTGGTTGTCCCAGCCCTACCTTGCATCACCAAGCTGGCAACACCCCTCCCCTAGGTCTGTCTGGGCAGACTGAGAGCTAGGCCGAGTGGGGTGAGTGCCAGCCGCCCGGGGCTGGCAGTCTCACTAGGCAATTCCCCGGTTTTAGTGTGAGAATTTGCAGGACTCAGAATGGGAATGTGGTGGGTTGGGGATCTTACACGTGGCATGGAGGAGGCACCTAGGACATCCCTAGGTTCTGGTGAGCGTCAGAGCATGTGTTGGGAGTTCGTCCTCGATAGAAGAGGCTGGTGGGTAGGGAGGGAGGCCAGGCAGGATGCGCTTCAGCTTCTCAGGCTAGAAGAGCCAAATGGGGGTGCTCTTGGGCCGCCGAGTAGGCTCCGTTGGCCAGGCCAGAGGGGAAGGGGGGCTCAGGAGCTGGGGTCAGCCCCGACTTTGGGCCCCACCTCTGCCACACACTGGCTGTGGCCCCTCAGGCCCATGGGTTCACCTGACTGAACTTCGATCCTCATCTATACAGTGAGGGCAACAATGTCAGACCTCCTTACCTCACAGGCTGTTGTGGAGACGGAATGGTGTATAATAAGGGTAAGAGTCTGTAAATGCAGTATTGGTCAGTGGGCACAAGCAGTAGAGGGATCACCATTATTCAGTACTCCCCCATGGGAATTCTGGTGTCACTGCATGGAGACATCTGTTGCCACCTGAATGCTTGGCAGAGCCATTCCCTGAACCACAGCCAGCCTTCCAGGAAATCCCTTCACTGCCTCTCTGCCCTAATCTCCCCCTTTACTTCCAGACGTTCTCCTTGTCCTGTGCAAGATTTGTTGGAGCCCAAACAAGTCCGATCGATCCTGTTTTGTTTACAGCTGGGGACGGTGAGTGGCTGCCAGAGACAGGGTAGCGGTAGCTGGCCTGTCCAGGGTGCCGTTTGGGTATGCTCCCGCCCCGGGGAAGGTCAGAGAGGCCCCTAGGCCAACCAGACAGTTTTCTGTGGGGAAACATCTTCAGTCTGTGATCAGCTGATTATTCCTCTGCTGTCTCTTGGCACCACGTTTGCTCTCTTTTGAAATCACCCAGTGTTAGCCAGCGGCCCTCTTCTCCCCTGCTCTTGGCTCCCAGTCCTTTCCCATTCCATTGTAGCAAAGTTCCTGCTCTTAGACACTTGCCTTTTAATGGGAAAAGACCTGGTAGAGCCCAGTTCAGAGTCAACTCTCTTCATACTATTTTACATTTCTTAAGTAGTGAGTGAGTGGGTCGGTCCCTATTCCTAGCTTCCCCTCCGCTTCCCCCGCCTTACCCACCCCCTCTATGGCCACAAAAACAGAGCTGCAAGGGGGAACCAACCCGGATCTCCAGCTCATCCTCTGCCCCTTCCACTTGACTTGTATCTTCTGGGCGGAGTGAGCCTTCGAGAGCTCGAGGCTGCAGTTTGGCTGGCGGCTTCTTGGACTCCTTTCTCTGCTGGAAAGAGGTATTCGCTTAGGGCCCTAAGCCCCCTTAGACTTGCAGGGCCAGAGGAAGGTGTGAGGCTCTGGTCAGACCCAGAGGTGTCCTGGGTACTCTCGGAGAAAGCCGAAGCCCAGAGACCTGGAGCCACTGCCCAGGTCACAAAGCACACAGCTGGCTGTGACATGGCAAGGTGGGAACAAGAGACCCCAGTCTGAATGTGGGGCTTTGTGGGGAGACATTTTACCTGGACTTTCTGGTGTTCAGGGCTCAGGAAGCTGGAGCCCGCCAAGGCCAAGTCCATCCAGAGCATGCTGAAGAGCAGCAGGCTGCACAGGGTCCCCAGGGAGGGCATGGTGTCTGGCAGGCCTGGAGGAGAGAGGGTCTTCAGGCCCGGTGCCCTGCTGTCTCTCCCTGTGGCCCAGACCTCGCCCGGGTAGGGGCCCAGCAGATGGGGTGAGGGGACTTGGCCCCAGGATGTCCCTGCTGAGCAGAAGCTCTTCCCACCGCTACTAGAGGGGCTCCTTGTGCCCACCTCCCCTAAGTAGCGAATTGAAGGATATGTGCCCCCTACTCCCAGTCTGTGCGGCAGTAGGACTCCCCATATTTGTCCCAGGCCCCCAGGAGCTTGTGCCAGGTTTCTTAAGGAAAGGTCATGAGGCTGAACCTTATGGGGATTTGGGGGGAATCCAGCTGTCTCTGAGCAGCCAGGCGGCCCCGAGTTTTGCAGTGCCCGTACCCCTTGGTTCAGATGGGCCTGTGAATGGCCCACGGTCAGAATAAGTTAAGCCCGTGAGCCCACACACAAGAGTAGAGAGAGTGCCTACCTGAGGCTTCTGGTGGGGTGGTGGCCAGTGGCTGCCTGGTCCTTATGTAGGAAGCCCTGTGTTTGTTTTAAAGTAGCAACTCCGTCCTAACTTCTCGTGGCTGCTTTACATTCCTTGGGAACTAAAAATGCTTGTGTGCTCTGGGTGGAAGTCAACAGTGGAGGTCAAAGGCCCAGAGAGATTGCTGGGTTGGCTCGGGCTGGTGCACCTGCTCCAGTGTCCCCAGGTGGGCCCTCCCTGGGTTCAGGTGGGAGAGAAGTTAGTGACTCGGGGTTGGGTGGGGGTGCGCGGCGCTAGGTGCTAGGCTAGCTTTGCTCCTCTCTGCTTCGCTGCTTACTCCCCCTTCTGAAATTCCCTTCCTTCCTGGGTAGAACGAGGGGATGGCCACTTGAGTTGTAAGCGCTTGTCTACTCCCGACACGCTGTTCTCTGTGATTGATGCTGCTCTGGCTCCCATCGCTCTCTGGGGCTCACGGGGGGCCTGGCTCCTGTAATTCTCCTGCTGCCCCAGCCAGGGCATTCCCACGATACAGATGAGGAGTCTGCTGGGAGGGGTGACAGCTCGGGTCCCTGACTTGTCCTCTTCCGGGAGCAGGGCTAAGGCTCATCTCTGGCAGCGGCTATGCCCGTCATTTCTTCTGGGTGGCACTCACTGAGCCGGCTTGGGGCTCCTAACTCATGAGTTGGCTTGCCTCCCCTTCCCCCAGGGAGGCTCCCAGAGGGAAAAGACTGGACCCGGCGGCAGAGGGGCCGTGGCCCAGGACTGGCACAGGTGACTACTGCTAAGTTGACGGGCCCCAGGCCGGCCATCAGGAAGCCCCCTTGCGCCAGGGCGGCTCCTCACAGTGGCTTTGAGGATGACCTGAGGTGATGGTGTGCAAATCCTTCATAACCTCTGAGGTATCCTGCACGTGACAACCCCTTGTGATCTGGGCCCGCAGGGCTTGCAAGCATATGCCACGGACCCATGTTCTCGGATGGAAGTTCATTAATGTCGTGGGGCATTGCTTACCCATCTGGAGAGCTTCGTCTCATTGGATGCCCAGGCGGTGACTCCTAAGGGCTGAATGAATTGTCTACCCAGAGATTTAGCATTCCTGAGGAGGAACTCACTTCAAGCTGGGGCTGGGAGCTGAGAGGTTAGGAAGGGCTCCATGAAAGAGGCAGACAGTGGAGATGGAGCAAGCACACCCCCGCAGGCAGAGCGGCAGGAGCCAAGGTGAACAGACGGCGTGCGCTTAGAGCATTTGAGGCAATGATACTAAAGCTGGCTGTCTTAGGCGAGGGTGTCGGCGGGGAGGTCATCAGGAAGGGCCTAGAAGGTGGTTCAGGGTCAGGTTCTGCATGGCCTTGAAGGCTGCTGCTAGCCCAAGGAGTTCAGGCTTTATTTGCAGGAGGGAGGCCCCTGAAGGTTCTTGAACAGAGGAGTGACAGAACTGTAGAATACAAGAGTTAGAAAGACCTTGAAGAGCTGGGAGGCTGACTGTTGATTCCACTGAAGGAGCCCTGAACACCAGAAAGGCCTTACTCTTCTCAAAACCACACACCTTCAGTGGCAGTGCCGGCTTTCCAGTTTCCTGGCTGCTGGCCGGTGCCTTCCCTGATAGGCCATCCGGATTCCACAGCAAACATGCTGTTCTAGGGGAATCCGTCTGTTCTGAGTGGGGTGGGTGGGGTCAGAGGAGCCAGTTAGGATATCGAGGCAGTAGACAGCTGACCAGCAAATGACCGGGCACCCAACTTAAAGGGGGGCATTGGGCCCTTGCTGAGACAAGGGACAGTGGGAGGGACTGGATGAAGCCCCTTAGAAGTACCTCTTGCTGGAAACCATCTCGCCAGCCTGCTGCGGGGGCTGGAATTCCTCCTTTAGCCCCAGCAGAATGCAACGGTGTCACCAGGAACCTTTACCCTTGCTGGCCACCTGAGCTTAGACCTCTTGGCTCAAGGGTGTGGAGAAATAGGGAGTTCTCAGAGAAACTTGTAGCTTTTTCAGAGCCCCGTCTCCCAAAGCAAAACCAAACAAATCCTGCCCCCCAACCCCCCAAGCCAACTATGGTGACCAGGCACCTGCTGAGTCTCGAAGCCTTCACTTAATCCTGACCCTGGAGGCGTCTGAACACAGGATCTGCCATTGTTGATCTTAGATAAGTCTGCCAGCCAGCAAACACCCCTGCTCGCTCTGTTATCTTTGGGGAACAGAGAGGTGGCCTGTGTGTTGGAAATGACTGACACCACATACCATGGAGTCGAGGTTGGTTGGGGGAGGAAGGAACATCTGATGGATGCCAGAAATGTTGAGGAAGGAGCCAGGTGGCACCCAGAACTTTCCTCACTGCCCACTCACAGTCGTGGGAGTGGGGGCAGGTGTGGGGTGGGGAATGCATGCACATCGGAATCAAGAGGAGTTTGGAGGAAGACGATGTGACTGGGATGGGGCGGGGGGGGGGGGGGGGGGGGGGGGGGGAAGGACTAACTTTTCCCAGGCTCATTTTCCTCCTTATTCCTTTCAAGTGTGGATAACACCAAGGCTGGTTTGGCCCCTCCTTGTCCTGTGTCTTTCTCAGAATTGCGCAGGTACTCAGTGCACATTGGTTCCTCTGGGCTGCTTGCTGGTTGGTGATTTCCTTCCCATTTTGGGGCCTTGAGGGCCTGCCTTAAGAATGGGTGAGAAGCACTTACCATCTTTGCATTAATTGCTGTATGTAAATGGTATCTGAGAACCAGTTATCTTTATACACTTTCTACTATACTTTCATTTCTACTAACAATGAGTTGGGCTTCGGTAGCACTGATTTCATCAATTTGGCCAACCCTACATTTTTGGGGTTGTAGAAAGGTTTTTGCTTTTTGGTGATGGGGTTGCAGATAGGGTTTTGTTTTGTTTTGTTTTTGGTGGGGTTTCTTTTTTGTTCTGGCTTCTGTAACTTTTGGATCAGCATTGTTCAATAGAAAATATCAAGTCAGCCTCAAGGAGCCTCGTAAGTAATTTTAAATTTCCTAGGAGTCACATTAAAAAAATGTAAAATCAGGGTGCCTGGGTAGCTCTCTGCCTTCGACTCAGGTCATGATCCCAGGGTCCTGGGATTGAGCGCCGCATCGGGCTCTCTGCTCAGCAGGGAGCCTGCTTCTGCCTCTCTCTGCCTGCGGCTCTGCCTACTTGTGATCTCTCTCTCTGTGTCAAATAAATAAAAAAATCTTAAACAACAACAAAAAAAGTGAAATCAATTTTAATATACTTTATTTAATATATCCAAAATACCAGTTTGACATGTAATCAATAGAAAAGTGATTAGTGGGATATTAGACACTGCTTTTCTTTTTACTAAATCTTCAAAATTCAGGGCACCTTACATTTTCCAGCACAACTCCAGGCACAGTAGCCACACACATGCTTTAGTAGCTGCATGTGGCTTATGGCCACGGCACTGGACAGCCAGCTGTAGATAATCACAAGTGTCATTTTTGCAGCTTGTATGGCCTGAGCCACGCTCTTTCATGCCTCCTGCCATCCAAGCAGGGTCTTTCCCACTGAGGCTTCCCGTTCTCCTGCCATCATGGAGTCTCTTCCCCTATCTTCAGTCTTATTCCCAACAACTTCTCTCAGCCTAAAAATATGCCCTGGTCTCTAATCCTGGAAAGGACTGTTTGGCACTGGTCCCTCTTCCCCTCACCCTATGTAACCTCTAGGCATAACTTCTTTCCCTTTTCTTGTATCCCATCCTTAGTGTGCTCTGGGCCCTCAAAACTCGAGTACACGCCCATCTCCACTGTGCTCAAGCTGTTTTCCCCGCATTGCGGGCAGTGTAGCTCTAGTTCAGGGACCACTGAGAGCCAGGGGATCTCGGGCTGAGGACTTTATAAGACCTTCTGATGTCATCTGCTGGGTGCGGGTCTTTGTTGGGCTGCACTGAAATTGTGGGGACGTTTATTAAGAATGCTGTTTTGTTTTTGTTTTTCCAAATGCCTGCTCCTCTAAATCTGATGTAATAGATTTTAGAACTGAGTGGGGCCCCAGAATCTGAATTTTTATAAGTTTTAATTTAAATTCCAGTTAGTTAATTTACAGAGTAATATTCATTTCATTTGTACAATATAGTGATTCAGTACTTCCATATGTCCCCTGGTGCTCATCACAAGTGTCCTCCTTAATCCCCATCACCTATTTCCCCCATCCCCCCCACCTCCCCTTTGCTAACCATCAGTTTGTTCTCTATAGTTAAGAATCTGTTTCTTGCTTTGTCGCTCTTTTTCCGCCTTTGCTCATTTGTTTCTTAAATTCCACATATGAGTGAAAATACTTGGTATTTGTCTTTCTTGGACTTATTTTGCTTAACATTATACTCTTGAGTTCCATCCATGTCCTGGCAAATGGCAAGATTTCATTCTTTTTTTTATAACTGAGTAATACTCTGTTACAAACACATATACCACATCTTTATTCACTCATTAGTGGATACTTGGGCTGTCTGCATAATTTGGCTATTGTAGATGATACTACATCAGGGTGCACATATCTCTATCAATTAGTATTTTTGTATTCTTT